TGAATATCTTTAATATTCATACAAAGCTACAGGAAATCTTGGACAAGATACAGGACCTTACTAACAGAGTACAAGAAGTACAGGTTGAATCAGGAATATCTTAAGTATACCTAAATAGGTTGGTACAGTCACAATACAACCTAACTACTATATTACAAAGAATTAGTAGGGAGGAGTAATAAAGTGACAGGGGAGAAGGAAGTACTTCTAATGCTCAATACTCTTAGAGACAAGAACATTTCACCTAAGGAGAAACAGTCTAAGAAAATCAAGAAAGTGAACTATCAGGTTCTTCAGCTGAAGAAGAAGAGCTTGTTAACACAATACAAGGAGGAATCCAAACATTTCAAGACTATAGTGGAATTGAAACACAACATCTAGATAGTCCACCAGGATCCTCTAGAAGCCTCTAAGGTTAGTCAGAAATTATTACTCAGGAAGGCCAGACAGTTGAAGAAATTGAACAGTCTATGTTACTAGATACCTTTATAGTAGAAGACACATTAACATTAGATTATAATTGGTTGTATCAGACCTATCAAAGTAGTACCAGTTTAGAGTCAAGTTCATCAGACTCTTATACACCAAATTCAGAATCTAGTAACTAGAAAAAGAGTAATATGGAGGGAACAAGGAAAATCAACCTGAAACTGCTAAAGTTTTCAGGACAGAAAGGGAAAGATCTAGAAGTGTTTAAAACAAATCTGGTAATACACTTCAGACATTACAACATTACAAATGATTTGGATAAAGTAGAAACAGTAATCTTATACTTAAGAGGGAAAATAGTAAGTTACATGAATAGAAAGGTAATATTATTTGTGACAGAAGGAAAAAGCTTAGTTCCAGAAATCTGGAAAGATTATAATACATTTTTAACTGATCTGAGAGAAGCAAGTGGAAAATACTATGATTCTATAGAGACAGCTCAAACTCAAATGTACAATTTGAGACAAGGAAAACTAACAATTATAGAATACAATGAAACATTCAAGAGAATATTAGCCTACCTACCTAGTGAGTATAAACTAGGGACAAATGGAAGGAATCCTGTTACAATCCATTTATATAAGAATGGATTAAACCCTAGCAAATTACAACAGTTGGTTACTATCTGTAACGATTGCACTCTTGTGCTGAGTGCACGCAAGCACACTCCTTACTATGAAGGTGTTGTGGGTGCTTGTAGGTGCTTTTTTCGTTATTAGTTAGCCTACTTGTATCCACTACACGTGTAACTGCATATATAAAGAGTCTTCAGGCTAAGGGTTAGGGGATTCTTTTCCCCTTCTCAATGCTCGATTACTGATTACCCTAGTCAGTGTATTGAGTGTGCTGGTAAAGAAGAGAATCTTCCTCATGTAAGGCTATTCTACATATCCTTACATATTTTTGACTGTATAAATCAACCCCTATTGATCCTGCTGGGTTGTGAGCATTGTCTAGGGTCTGATCAACCCTTGGCATTGTCTCATTGCCTGGTGTGAAGAGCAAGTGAGTTTTGAAAGAGATTTGTAGAGAGAGACAGCAACTACTTACTGGTTGGCCCCCAGTGAGCGAAAATGATCTGGAGCATAGCAAAACGCTTCCTGATTGCAACAAAAACCCCTATCAATATGGTTCAATGTCCTAGACATTGCAAGGACCTTCCCAAGGACAACGTTGAAGACACTGAGCACACATATCCAGGTTTAGAGAACATAGTGAGTAGTACTAACACAAATGCTGGACATTTAAACTACCTAGGCACTACTTCCTACCTCAAGACAGTGATTTTGATGCTGAAAGGCAACCTCATTGTTCCAGTAAGCTCATATTCGTCTAACAAAGTCCTTACCATTGTCCCAAAGTGCAAGTCCTTGTCCCTTATGGGCTTAAGGCAAAACCAATCACAATCCAGTGATAAGTCCACATCTATTGCAGGCTGGTGGCACACTGATGATCTACCAGGACGTAAGACATTGTCTCTTAGAGGCTGGATGCAACCTGAAGACCAATTACTACTGAAATACTATAGTTACATTTGCATAGCAGTACATAGAACAGAGACTGAGCGAATGAGTGTGCATATAGGTAGTGCAAAGGGTGAAATGCATGCAAACCACACCCAGGATGAGACTGGTGTTAAGCTTTTTGCCAGCAAAGTCTCAGGAAAGAACCATCAGATTGCAGTCAAGGAATCGAGCAATCATGCAAGTGAACAATTAGTACATACAAGAGACAAGAAAGACACAAACAAGCTTGCATACCAGGACAAAAAGGATCCATTAGTATTGACTGACAAGAGCAAGTATGTTGCCAGAGAGCATCTAACAGTGATTTTGGAATGGTGCCCTAGTCCAAAAGAACCCCTTACATTGCCAGGAGGTAAGACCTCTATCACAGAAGATTGGAGGCATCCTGAAGACCTGATCATGAGATATAAGACCTTACCTATCAGAGGCATAAGGCTTTCAACTTTACTTAGCATACAAGAAAGACAGGTAATGAGTACTGCAAAAGTGCATATAGTTAGACAGAAGCACATCATAGGAAGTCCACTCATCATAAGAATAGCTAGCATTGGTACTCAGAGGACTAGCATCAAGGATTTGAGCAGTCAAGTACAGGCAATTGACATTGATGGTTCAGTCAGTCGAGTTCACAGAGAACAAATATATTTAGCTAGCAGTAGCACTCAGGCAATTGCTATCAAGCTTTTTAGCAATTGAGTTCACAGAGAACAGGCAATTGGCTTCAAGGATTCAGTCAATTGATTAATAGAGGTGAACACCAAGAAATCAGTTTGCCAACAAGGATTCAGGCATTGCAACATTACCCTGCATTGAGAGGATTCATTCCAGCAGGCAAAGAGAACGTTCAAAGGTACAAATAGACTAGATACATCAATATATACTAGTAAACTAGTTAGTCCCTTCCATCACAAGATAGACATTGACGACTTGAACAAGAAAACGCATAGATTTGATGGAATGTATCAGGAGAAGGAGAAGGAAACTCCTACAACAAACAAAGGTGAAGCCTATTGGAACGTACCAAAGAAACACAGAACGTTGCAGGAAAGCAAAGGAAATGATGCCAAACATTCAGCAACAGGCTTAGACAAGAAGCTCACTACAGGAAATCAGTATTTGCTAACAGAATTGCAAAGTAAACCTGAAGAACAGCTCAGAAATTCGACCAGAAAGAAAGATCCAGGCAAGAATTCCTCAAATCATAGGAAGAAAGTGAAAGCAAACAAGTGCAGAGCTTTAGGCACTAGGAACAATGATCAGACAGCATTGAGAGATCACAGCAAGATTGAATCCACAGTACAGAGAGCCAAATTCAAAGAGATCAAATTTATTCGAGCATTAGAATATTGGGTAATGACCCCCAGAATTGAGAGTTGCATCAAGACTCCCTAGGCTGTCAACAAAATACCACTTCGTTTCCTACAAAATATGCATAGCTCAAAGGCAGAAAAGGTAGAGAAGGACTTACCTTGCACTATTGGTAAAGGTACAGACGTCAAGAAAGTGCTACAGGTACAGAAGCACACATATAGTCACCTCATTTTGGCAGAACAAGGATTTATGTACACTTGGGTTGTAAGAAGCAATATAAATTCGGATACACCACCTATGAACGTCAAACCAGTTTGTATGAACACTCTACATGATGGACATCATGATTCAGAAAGTAAGAAAGAGAGCAAGAACAGAACAGGCAGAAATCACTGTAGTACAGTAACTCCTATCAGGCACAGCAAGCATAAGAATAGATTCAAGCACAGAAATACAACCACACAAGATACAGGCAAACTACATAGTGCAACTACATTGTGTACAACTATATTCACGCATGGAAAGACTTCAGGTAACATTGCAAGGAAAAGGTACATAGATTGAGCAATATTGAGTACAGAAACCACAAACTATTGGATCATGTGTCTAGAAACAGACCAGAACTACCTACCAGACTTGTTTTACTCAGCAAACTTGTTGAAATCAAGCACGAAAGTCAGCAACAATCAAGGAAACATCAGAGATATGGTATCAGAAGCCACAGAGGCTTATACAAGTGAAACTACAGGTACTAAGAGGCTCAAGTGTCCCAAGAGCAGGAAAGGAAACAGAGAATTCCTTAAAGCAGACATACAGATGCAATGCACAATGCACATTGTTTCCACAAAAGATCTCAGAGAAACCAGTCTTTGGAAATACAGCAAATACATTTCAGAAGTTGGTCAATATGTGAAACAAACAGTTTTACAATACATTTCTCAAGTGCAAGCAAGAATGGCATACAGTTTCAGCAAAGAAAGCATTACAGACCATTATCTACAGAGAAACAGTATGAATGATGCTAGGCAGACACCTTTGCTATCTTTGAACAGATTAGATGACGATTATTTCATCAGTGAGATATCAGGAACAGTACCAGAAGAGTTCTACATACAGAGAGGACCCAGAGGCATGCAAGAACACAAATGCTATCCAGAGGAGTAAGATATGCTCTCAAGACATGTTTCTACAAGGGAAATGACCAGTCAGGCATGGAATAGACTACATTCCAAGTACAAACAACATTTGCTATTAGTTTATTGGAATCTGCACACAGTTTCAGGCAGAAATTTCATTGTTAGGCTCAAAAATACTGAGAAAACGAGCAAAGAACTTGAAATTTCAAGATATGCAAATACCAGGCATATATTTTACTCTAAGTACTATGGAGAAGACCTTCAGGAAGACCTACAGCAAAGAAATGCACATAGAAACTACAGGAATAGGCATAAGATTCGATCTAAGGACAAAAAGAATGGTTATAGCAACTATAATCATATCAGGCAGTGTATACAGTCTTACAGCATAAGACTCAGAGTGAGCAGCAAACCAGAAGACTTCAAATTGAATTGTACAGACTACAATGGGCATACACATGACAAGAATACAGGAATTGGTCTCACAGGCATTTGAAGGCACATACAAGAAGAATCAGGCTATGTACTAGAGAAAGTACAATGTTTCAATCGAAAGCAAGACTCGTATTATGTCACAAATGGTTGTACACATAGTACAGAAAGAGCTCAGTATATCTCAGAAGCTGGATTACCTTCAGAGAACTTGGAAATCGATTATGCTACACTAGGAAGGAGTACAAGAATGCTAGGAAATGGAAGCTATTGGAATTTGAGTATGAACAGTTATACAAACATTCTGCCATTTTCTATATTTCGAATAGATCCACTGGTACAGCAGGCATGCTCTACAGACAGTGAGTATGAATTGAGAACTCCAGAGGAAGACTTATACA